GTTATCACTGAAGTCACTTAAATTTTTTATTTTCAGAGGTACAGAAGTAATGGTGTGATTGACTGACATGATCCCAGACAGGACAGAGACTCTTTCTGCAGGAGACATGTGCAGTAGAGCAAAGTGACAGTGGTACCGGAGTAATAGGAGCAGCAGATACTGACACACAAGCCTAGAGCCTCTCGTGGCTGTCAATGTGCCAATTTTAATATATAAATCGCATCGGAGTATAAGTCGCAGGACCACCCAAACCATGAAAAAAGAGTGACTAAGGCTACGTTCAGACTGCAGGGCTTAATGCTCTATTCCAACTTTTTTGTGAAATCCAATGTTTTTGCGCGGTCGTTCACATTTCCAATTAAATGCGACTTGTATGTGGTCTCCAGTGTGAACAGTAAACGGCCCGAAAGTGTCCCGCATGCGCACTGGAGGACACAATGACGTCAACCGCAGCGAGCATGCTCTGTGTTTACGGAAGTTGTCCAAACATGGACATGAGCATTGAGCACCTGGAGATTTTAAAGTTCCTCTCGTACCGGAGCCAGAACATGAACAACTTACTTGTTTTAAAGGAGGAGATTGAGAAGGAGATGGACGAGGTTTTTGGCCGTGGTGTTTTGTGGGACAGCGGCAGCGACGTCCGTTGAAAGGAACGTGTGGATGCGGAGACATAGCCAAGAGTGGTGAGTGGTGATGTGCTTCATTTCAGTGACACGGAGTTCATTAACAATTTTCGCCTACTTCAGCGCAGAATAGTGACATTTGTGGCTTGTTGATAACGTGTAGGTCGGATGAATGCGCTTTGGCTGTTCACACTGAAGTCGCATGTCAAAAGATCGGATATATATCGGTTTCAGGACCACATATCCAAGTGGCCTGGGTCACATTTGAAAAAATCGGATCTGTGTCGTTCAGACTGTCATTAAAAGATCAGATACAGGTCACATAGAAGCCAAAAAATCTGATTTGGGTCACTTCAGGCTGCAGTCTGAACGCAGCCTTATAGTCTGAAAAATACGATACTTGTTCTAAAGACACCTGGTATTGTATATAAAACCTGGAAATTTGTGCCCCTACTCTGTACTTTGAACTTCATATTGATTTGATTTCAATTTCAATTGCCACATGTCAGAAAATAACAAAATCATTCCAAATATGTACGCAAGCCACTGTACTGTCAACAATTACTCTCAAACAACACTAGGTAGTCCGGCGCTGCCACAAACTCTTGTTATCACTAATAAAACTATTTTCTTTTCCTCCCGTCCTAATAAAACTTGTGAACTTATAACTATGTGCGTCCCTGCATATCTAAACACGGAGCCGGTGACGCACAGCTAAGCTAAGCAGATTTACTGACACATATGCGGACAAACAGAGAGGCGCAAGCACGATCTGAGCACAGCTGTCCAGAACGAGTTAATATAGCAGGCCTGTTTATGAGCGGGGATGAAATTTAAGCCCGACACCTACACCCGTCTGCCACTGTCTTAATGAAATCTCGCCGCGGGGTGAAGGTAAGTTCAGCGGACCACTCGCCAAGGTGTTAGGCCGCTTATACTGCACCAATTACACTACATTATCAACCGCAATTACAAATCAGGGCGAGCCAGTGCCAAGCAGTAGCCGCTAAAGACGCGTGTGGAAAAGGTGGAAGCGGACAGCCGTGAACTCATTACAAGGTGTTAAATTAAGCCTAATTCAAGCAATTCAACAACTCTTTCGACAATTTACCATTGAAATTTCACAAAATTTGGCAACTTTTAAATATGGGAAATAGGGGGAGTGTAGTATCTTTAATGTGATGATACAGTATCGATATTGTGAGCTGCTGTATCGTTATATCACCAAGAGTATTTTTGGGTATATTTCATAAATTATTTTGTTACAGCGCTACAGTTTTGTTGTTTGTTCAGACGAAGGTAACTCGTTTATGCGACACATTTGACATTTTCACTGTTTTGATGATTAAAATGTGTGTGTTTCAAATTCGCTTTGCACAATAAGTGGTTTAACAAAGACTTTTAGCATCACAGCCATGATTTAGCCTTTGTTTTTTATTGAACCATACTGAATCGAAAGCTCACTGTATCGAGATATGTATCGTAGACTATATATGGAGGAATTCATTGTATCGGCATCTTAATGATACCCAGCCCTAATGAGAAAGCATCTGCACTAGGCATGTAACGATATCCAAATCTCACAGTACAATATTATCACGATATGCATCTCACGGTACGATATTTACTGCGATATTTTGAAGAGGCTGATATAACTGTAGATGGGACACTTTTTTTGCTTTTAAAATACCTTGACAAGATTTTGGTGTGAATTATTTCTGTCATAATCTCAAGAATTCAAGTGAACAACATCTCTCTTCAAGTTGTCTGCACAGAAATGAATCATGGGATATGTAGTTTCCGACGTTCATAAGCTGTTGCTACTATAAAACCAGCATTTAAGCAAAGGAACTTCAGTGACAGTCCACGATATTATTGTGAGACTTTTGACGATATATCACATCACGATATTTCGGTTATTGTTACATCCCCAATCTGCACTAATTAAATAAAAATGTTGAGATTATTCAAACATTTATGAATGAAATTAAAAGGTGTACCAGTCTGGCTGTTTGTCGCTTTGTCCCCGTAGAGATTATATTGCTTTGTCTGGAACGTTCCACAGTATGACATTAAAGAACAACTATTATGCATTAATTGTTTTACAGCGTTTCATTATTTAAAACTTCAAATAATGCCTAATTTAAAGAGATAATTTTGCAGCCCCAGTGCTCCTCACGCTCTGTTCTGTTGCATTTCGCCTTCTACTGGCAGCAGAAGGAATAACCAATGCGAAAACAATTAAACCATGTAATAAGGAGCATGTCTGTAAGCATGCAGTATTAATGAAGGCAATTTGACAGTAGAAAGGCTTAGAACAAGTCTGGCAATGATTTATGGACTTAAAAACTGCGCAGGTCTATCAAATCACGTCCATTAATACTCTGATCTCACAATCCCAGGAATCTCAGAGTGTTTGGTTTGGCCAAAGTGCAAGAAACTAAATACAACTCCAGGTATGTTTTTGATGACAGAACAATATTTGAACAAGGTTAAAAGCTTGAAAAAGTAACATTCTTTAAAGTGTCGTGGTGAAATCTCAACCATAAAAGTTACAAAGTGCCCCTTTAAACTACACAACTTCTTTAGGTTACTGTATAAAAACAATCTCTGCCTCTCTGTAGCTATGATTTGAAGTTCAGCTCATATAATATGCCTGATGAGCCTCGCATTGACTGTCAAGTGGAATGAGACGCTATTGCTCAACGCCAGGTCCACCTGTGAGTCTCTTTAGGAACTGGTGCCTCCATTCTGTTGCGTTTTTATTTTGGAAGTTGCAGACAGACAAAGCAGACATGCCACAGACACTTGCACTCCTTGCACCCCTCTCCGGAGCAGACGGGTGCGAGTTGGACCACACAGCACCTGTCAAGTGAGTCCCGGAGTCAGGTTCAGCTCCACAGTGCTCCCCCTTCACACTGTCAAAGCTCCCAAAGGAGACACTTCTTCATTTGAGCTTAGAGGCATTACGGAATACATTAAGGACAGGAAAGTTGCCAAAAGCAGCAAAAATCGGATACTAATCGGTACTAAAAGTTGTATCGAGACTTGATACTCATTTGAGCAGGTTTCGATACTAAAGAGTCACATTTACGGGACAGAAATTAATCTTCCATAGTGCCCATGGAGCACTATGGAAACTTCCTGGACCACTGGGGATTACACAGATATAAAGGCCACGTGGTAGTATAAAAGAAAGTACTACTTTTTTTTTTATTATTATGGTAACGGAATCAGTATTGAGCATTGATTCTCTATTAGTATCGAAAATGGGTTTGAAATTTTAGTATGGTAAGACTAATGGAAAAAAGAGTGACTAGAATAAAACCTATAAGATACTGTAAGCAACAGTTACAACCCTTCCCACTGTACAAAGCAAAGTGCAGTATCATTTATAAAACAGTCCTTATAATGGTTAAATGAGTTGTTGCAGGGCGTGTGAGGTGCTCATTGCCTCCCTCTGCTGTTTCTGGGGTGAAATTTACAGATGCTGTACTACCTACAGGCTCATGGGGAGCCGGTACACTATGGTCACTTCTTAATACCAATCGGGAGCTCTGGTGCCAAATGCAGATTTACAACAAATAGGAAAGGTGAGCGTGTCAGTGGGTCAGGAAATGTCCAAAGATCCAAGAGGAAAAAGATGCTTGAATCCAAAAAAAAAGAAAAGAGGAGATTTGAGGCACGGTGATTTTAAAATTTCAAAATAAAAGTCCTTTATTTTGGCTATAGTGAATACCCAGACAAGGTTGAAACGCGTCTATATGTCCCAACTATAGCCAAATAACTTTTATTTTATGTCAGAGTAACTTGGCTCTCCTCTTCTTTTCTTGTATTAAAACTTTGTAGAAGCTGGGAATGAGTTTCAATCCACTGATCTTTGGATCTGAACATGCCACTAACTGAACTACTGCCAATCCAATGTCCCCCGCTTAACCACAATAGCACTGGACAGTAGCAGCTCCAGAAGTAAGTTGTGAATCAATACAGTGATGTTCAAGATGCAATTCTTGAATTCAAACCTGTGTTTACTATTGTAACATTTTCATTGGCACTGTGCACTGTAATGAGCGCTGCTGCCAGAGCAAATACCGGCCTTACACCGGAGGGCACATACACATTGCGGACGTGTTGTGGGCGCACTCGAGAGCCGTGTCTGACAGGACGCTAACAGGACCCGAGCAGTGAAACCAGGCTGAATACATGCAGCAGGTGGGGGGCTGGCGGGGTGGGGAGGAGAGGGGGGTATTCAAGAAAAGGGCTCTGGTGTCTGGCTATTTTCAGTGGCCCCCCTTCCCCGCGGGCCCAGCAACAGTTCCAGAGTACAGAGCATACACACGGAGCAGCGTATCACCCGCTCCGACTCCTCACACTTACGTTGAACTCAGTGGTGTTGAGAATGTGACGCCCGTCGGGGCTCCAGCGCGAGGAGACCAGTCCTATAGACCCTTCATCGATCTTACAGTGCCAGTCGGGCTGCTCCAGAGACCACACCTGAGAACGACAAAGAAGAGGAAGCAGAGAGACAGAGAGACAAAGTGAGACACAGAAAGAGAAAGAGACATCAATGACAACCCTCGCACGGCCCAAACAATTCACCACAAAAACCTTTAAACATGAAAGACTGGCGTTGGATTCCTCTCCAAAGGTGAGCAACGAAAACCTTTTCTAAATTTTCCACAAATGATGCTAGCTTTCCAAAAACTCCTCAGGCTAACCGATGTGATGACAAAGTTATATCTTATTTATACTTCAAGATTTTGATGGCTGTCCAAATACAATGTTCTAACTTTGGAAGTAGATTGAGCTTAATTTAGAAAAACAGACCTTACTATAACTGAAAAAACTATTTGATAAATATGTGGTAAAAATACAAGCGCCTTATAAATTAAATGTACATTTTTATGATAAGATTTGAGGATGATTTTGAAGTGAGGAGAAGGGCGTGCATCTTGTCTCAATGCGCTATCTCAATAGTTTCCAGTGGGTCAAAAGGTTTCTTAAATTCTTGATAGTCCTGATTTAGTCCATAAATCATTACAAGAGTAGAACTAGTTAATAAGAGTCATGGGCATCAAGTTTAATCAACGTAAACTGTTGGACTACTTTCTTTCCAATATTCTGTCTTCATCGTTTGACTCAACAGATAAATGCTTTTATTTTTATCCTTTATCCTTTCATTTTGGATCTTAGACGGTTTTACTATCTTAACAGGTGGAAAGGTTGCCCTGTCACTGGAACATATTTGGTTCAAACAGTGCTCTAGGCGATTGATATTATCCCTGTGTCCTTAGACAAGAATGTGAATGTGACTTGTTTATACGAAAAAGGATACATTTCCACAAAAAATAGTAGTTTCTACAGTTGGTGGTCAAATAATAATCATTCTAAACCTCTTCAGGAAATACCTATTCAACTCAGTATCTTGTGTCCCTACTAGTTTTGGTATCTGCATTTGTATCGCTGGAGGATTTGCCTATGTTGTTTGTTTGATGTGATCAGATTAAGTATGGCGTTACTGCAATGAACAACAGCCCTCACAGCCCAGGTTAGCTTGAGGCGCTTCTACCAGATCCTCACCTGCACCAGTCCTCTCTTGTACATGGCGCAGAGGACAAACTGGGAATCTGAGGACCACTCCATGTGAGAGATCTGGTCCAAACATGTGTAGAGCTGAAGGATCTGCAGTGTAGCCACATCACGCACCACCAGCCTGTACTGCACACACGTCGCCTAGAAGAAAACAAAAAACAAAACTATCAGTAATTAAAATAAATAAATAAAACACAATTCAACATAAATTGCAAAGATCTTTATCAATTTTTTGAGAAGACGTAGGTTGTTAATCATAACTATAACATTAAAATAGATGTTTTGTTTGGGACAACAGTAGCTCAGTTGCCAAAGTGTTGATCCACTCACCCACAAGTTGGTGGTGTGATTCCAGCTCCCATAAATTAATGCTGTCAGTGTGTCCTTGGGCAAGACACTTAAACCATCTCAACCCAAGTGTTTGCGTACATCGGTATGAATGTGTGTGTGAATGGGTGAGTAGCTCCTTGATGTAAAGTGCTTTGAGAGCCTTGAAGGTGGAACATCGATATATAACATGTGACAATTTACCATGACCTTCTTGTCTCTTGTTTAAATAATCATCAGTTTTAGTTTCCAGTTATTATGGACATCATTTTGAGGACTTTTGACCACACAAATTAAATAAGCTTTTGTTTGGATTTGTTGATAGCTATGGCACTCTGAAACGCTTGGATAGAAAACTGTCAACAAGTCTTAAATTAGTAAAACTGCCCTTGAAGAAGCTTAACCAAGATATTTATAAGCACTGCAAAAGTTTAAGTTATAGAGATTTTAATATAAATTGAGATAGACAAAAATGTACCAAATATTTTCCATCTGGAGACACTTTGCATAGTTGGTTGGATTGCTTGAAAACCTCTGAGAAGTTCATGATGTCACCTCATCTGCAAAGAAAGCACAAAAAGCAAAGTTTATTTTTATTGTATTATTATTACTTTTTAATCCAAAATGAAAATTCACAAGCATCAATTATCCCTGTATATTTATCCAGTCACATCAAAAGACTTGCAGATTAAGAATAGTAGTTTTACCTGTCTCACTGCAATTATACAAGAGCATATTAGTTTGCATGAGACAGTAACTAAAACGAAAATAATAATGCCCCAACATTAAACCACTAGATGGAGTTATGTGACCAAACACACAGCTACACATGACTAGTGTTAAAAAATAAACCCTACATTAAACATTTGGCTTATTTAATAACATTAAGGGCTCACGATGTGAAGTTTTTCAGATATATTCCTAAATTTATGTCAAATTATCATCAGGTAGACAGCACAGATGGCAGATATCCTCCCTAAAACGATAGCAAACAGTGGACTTTTTACTTTAATTGCACGAAAAGTGATTGATAGTCCCAGACAGAGTGTAAAAACAGCAACAAACCAATACTAGAAGCTAAATGTGGCTAACGTTAGCTACAGCCACTCATTGTGCAAAACTTAGACACAAATCGAATGTAAAATGCATCCGAACGCATTAAAATAACCTTTAGCAATACGCAAAACGTACCTGGGGGGTTAAAAAGTGAATTGACAGCTAGATAATTGGTGAAAAGGTGAAATTTGTCGCTAAATAAAAGGCACTGCTCCACGGGACAGCTCCGCAACAGTTTGTTTGGGGCGATCGAGTGACGTCACTGCAGTAACAGCCAATCAGCGCAGTGAAGTGAAGTGTGGACTTCTGGGAAATGTAGTTATATTACAAAAGTCGTATTTTACAGCGTATTGGTGATTGTAAAATGTCTGTTAGTGTTATGCTGACCTTATCCGGATGTTGGCTAATGGTTTCATACTGATTATTCAAATTTTTATTTTAAAAGGAATTTTTATTGTAGACTTTATATATTTAGGCTAATTATGTGTCGACACAAGCTTGTATATCGTTGTTTTGCTGATAGAATGATGATGATGGTGTCACCAGTCACTTTTTCAGAAGGAGGCTGCTGGAGCGAGTATTGTATGATCGCAATTTCGTGAATCTTGTCGAATTAAGAAGGCCGACGCTTTCAAATAGGCCAGTCAGCCACATTCTTACACAAAATCTGCAAATTGAAAAGGATGGCTTTGTTTGTCTCAATTTTACTTAACAATGCAGGCTTAATGTTGCATGATGTCATCTGAGATCTTGCAAATCGGGCTTATTAATTATTGTTATAGCCGAAGCAACATTCGTGCCAATTTTGCTTCGGTTTAAAGAATTGTGAAAAAAATGCCCACGATGATGACATTAGTCTAATAAAAAGCCAATCAAAAAAATTATGTTGATTATAGCCTCGGTTGTCAGTGCGTAAGAGCCTTTTTGCGGCAGCTGTGAGGGGGACACTTTTGCCGCTTAAACGCGCCCAAATCGCGCTACCGCCTCCTGCCACGAGCGTCTCCTCGGGCTCCCTCTGGCTCACACTTCGCTCTACTGGCCAGCAGCATGCAAATCACTTTTCTTCCTGATCGGAACTGAGCGTTTTCGGGGGGGAAAAATCCATAATTTTACAGTTATCTTATCCAAACAGTGCGTTCTTGTAGTGATGTTTTGTTGTCGTTTGACGGAGGATTGCTCGATGCTCTGCGCAGTAAACTGAAAGCTGTTTTGGAGCAACGTTATCCCATTGTTTTTTGGATTGGATTGGGATAAAACTAATATTCAGGTACGTGTTTTAATCTCGTGTTTAAAGGCAGACGCTGTGTTGTTTTAGCAATTCGTTTCGTAATTTACGCACGGGATGGTGACAACTGGTAGGCCTGCTATTTGAGCACGATTATTAGTGCAATTCTGGATTCTAAGAAATTGTTTTATAGGCTTATTTGAACTATCACACGACAAAAATAAGCCTCATTATTTGTGTTACACTCGGTTGAAAAACAGAAGTAAAATAAAGACACAAAAACTCAGGCTTGCGGATTCTTGTTTTCAGTGCGTAAAAGTTTAAAATTATAAATTGTTAACACGGCGAGAGCCCCATTTCTTCTCTTCTCTATATTTCTTTCTAATTTTCACCCATTGCTCGTGCGTATTTAGGCTATTAAACCAAGCACGCTATGTCAACCAGATCTATCTATTTTTATTTTTTATTTTCTTAATGTAAAAATAGCCAAATTTCAAAGGCCTTAAACGTGTGTCTACATTTCATCTGAAACTATTGCAGTGAAATGGCTCGATGTTTATAGGACCACCGTGTCCTTGTGCTGTGCGTGTGTTGTCATGGATGCGCGTAACCTGGCACAGCGGACACAGGTGATGGCACAGGTGAAGCGCAAACAACGGCGCAGGCATCTATTGTGTGACACGTAGGCCTGAGCACAGCGCTTTGTCAACAGTTCACGAGGAAAATGTTGAGAATTATTACTGAATGACCATTTAAGAATGGGTTTCTGTTGGTTATAAATTGATAGTGATGACAAGAGCTGATGGACGCGGGACTCTGGTCTATTTTGTGTTGTTATTACGCAACGCTTTGAAAAATATTGTCTTTGTTTAGTGCCATTACGCATTACTCATGTTATTGTTGTTAATATTTGTATATATTTATTTGTATTTATCTATTTCCTTTGTATTTATGACTATGATTTAACAATGTAGTCTTTTTGTATCTGTTTTAAAGTCTGTATAGTCTATATGATGATAACAATTCAGAAAATACGATTAGGGTTATTTTAACAGTCGATTAGTCACGATTATTCCCATTATTTTGCCTTGTTCGTTTTTTGTAACTGTAGACAATAATCACTGAAAACAAATGTAACGATTTTTACAGCGAGTTTAGCAATTACGCACGTTTAGACCACAGTTTTGCGCAATCCGTGCTCACAGGCCTTTATCTGTAACCTGTTTATTGAAAAGACATTCCCAGCGCAACCCCGCGATGCTGGTAAGTGAAAAAAATCGGTCCAGGAGGAATCCCAATTAGGCGTAAACCTGTCGCGTCTCTCGGCTGGGGCCGATGGGAGAGATGGGGAGAGGGGAAAGAGCGCGCATCGAGGCGGCAGAGAGAAAGAAAGAGAGAGGGCCACGGCCTACGAGCCTGCTGCTTCGCAAACCCAGACTAAACCAGCGAGATCTGGAACGGGACTTAAATATTGGAGAAGATCTGGAACAAAACAGAAAAAAAAAGTCTGTTTTACGATCGAATTTACAGTCAGATGTGGCCAGGTCCTGACAATATAAAACAACATTAAAATAATCGATATTTGCTTGCTCAAAACAGTCGAATATATGTATTTAAATGAATAATAATGTCCAAATTCAATAGACTGACAGGCTGCACGTTTTACGTAAGCAAATTGAGAGTATGCAGGTCATATTTACGTGTGGGTTCATCGATAGGTCAAAGTCAGGTCTATCTTTAACCAGTTTCTTCTGCCAGATATAAACTATATAGTCTAGTCAGTGTTGTATTTCATAAGAAGGTCGATCACGAGTAAAACTTTTAGTCAAATTATTCTCCACGTTTTGTTAAGTTAAAAGCAATGACCCTTGACATTTTTAATCTAGTGTAACATATTGAATTCTTTATCGTCGAAAGAACTTTATTTCCCCCTTTCGCCAAAAATCGATTTATTTCAAGCAACCTTACACACAGTAGGTCACAGAAACATTTCAAATCGGCTAAATATGTCATACAAGTGCTCGTTTCGATTCACTAAACATTACTTATATCCGTGCGTAAAAGCGGTCCTTTGCGTGAAGTGGAAAAAACAAAAACATTATCACATGACAGGTTTGCGTAACTATATCTTAAATTGACTGGGAGCGAAGTTTGCTGATAAGTGACTAGAGTCTGTGCGCTGGGTTCAAGGGTCACGGTCACGATGGTCATCTAAAAGCGTTCACATGGGGCCTAAGTACCTTTGCCACAGTTTGTGTTGTGGTGAGGTGTTGCCGGGGTGATGTGGCTCTGCAGTGGCGCACAGGCAGCTTCCAGTCACTTTGTGGGTTAAAGTGTGATAAAACTCAGGCAGTGGTGCGTTATTAAAGAGCATTACGATATTTTCTGGTCTATGATGATGTTGTTTCCACATCTAACAACATAGACTACGTGTTTCATTCACACAAACCCTGTATATTTTGATATATTGAGTCGTGGCTTGGACTTGAGCCAGACTTGACTCACTATTTTTAGGACTTGAGACTTTACTTGATAAAAGATAAAAGACTTGGGACTTGACTCGGACTTGAGGTCAAAGAATTACTTGAGACTTGCAAAACAACGACTTGGTCCCACATGTCTGATATTTAGGATGAGTTCTTTGTTCCTCATTATGATTTCATGTGGTAATACTGGAAGTGCTCCACTGTGTTTTTAAACTTCACCTTCATTACAATCATTTGGATGATTTATTTCAGCCCTGGAATTGCAAATTTCTACTGAACTAAAGGTGTAGGTGTGGGTGTAAACTTGAAAACTACGACTACATGACATCACAAGGTGGACATTTTGAGCATTTTGAGCTTTGAACGTGTAGACAGACTAATAATAAAGTATTACTAGAAGTGAGGGACTATTTTATAGCCCTTTGCAAGTAATCAGTAATGTATTGTTTTCAGAAATAATTTTATGATTTAAATTTTTGTGTAACTGCTTTGTTTGTGCCTCATTTGTTATTGTTATCTGGTCCCCGAAGGTTTGACCAGGTTTTGTATTCACCCTGTGTGTCTGTGTGTCTGTCCACCCGCAATAATTCCGCCATTTATGGACCGATTCTCACCAAATTTGATGCGTGGTTCAAGCCCCTGTGCCCAATGCCACACACACACAGACAAAAAAAAAAGTTTGGTGACGATCCGAGGTTATTTGAGGTCACACTGGTCAACTGAACGGCCACGCCATTACAGTGTTGGGGAGTAACAGATTACATGTACCGGAGTTACGTAATCAGAGTACAAATTATGAGTAACTGTATTCAGTTACAGTTACTGTTTCCATGAGAGATAATTGGATTACAGTTACTTTGTTGAAATAAATGGATTACATGGCAGTATTTTCCTGTTTTCACATTTTGGGCTAAACCAGGACTAAACCAGGACTAAAACCAGGACTAAACCAGGACTAAAACCAGGACTAAAACCAGGACTAAACCAGGACTAAACCAAGACTAAACCAGGATTAAACCAGGTCTAAAAACAGGACTAAACCAGGACTAAAAGCAAGACTAAACCAGGACTAAAAGGAGGACTAAACCGGGTCTAAAAGCAGGATTAAAGCAGGTCTAAAACAGGACTAAACTAGGTCTAAAAACAGGTCTAAAATCAGGACTAAAGCAGGACTAAACTAAGACTAAACTAAGACTAAAACCAAGTCTTAAACCAGGACTAAACCAGGTCTAAACAATATGACAATTAACAGTAGGTGGACATAATTGAAGGCAGCAGTGACCTCATATAAAAATAATTTCTCTATCAGGATGTGGTCGCTACATTCATGTCGTTTTAAAAAGCAGGACAATATTAAGTAATCCAAAGTATTCAGATTACATTACTCACTTTAAGTAATTTAATGGATTACGTTACAAACTGCATTTTGGTGTATGTAATCTGTAGGGGAATACATAAAAGTAACCTTCCCAACACTACGCCATTATGAAGGATAGGCAGTTTCAGCCATTTTTGAACCATCTGCAGGCTAAAATATTCACCCAATCACCACACAAGTTGG